AGCATGGACAGGGAGGTGTCCATGGACAGGAGCTCACCCAGCACGGACAGGGAGGTGTCCATGGGCAGGAGCTCAGCCAGCACGGACAGGGAGGGAGCTCACCCAGCACGGACAGGGAGGGAGCTCACCCAGCACGGACAGGTAGGCGCCGGCAGTCACGGCGGGGACGCTGCTGCTGCGCAGCACAGCCTCGCACTCGTAGAAGCCGCTGTCGCTCAGGGTGGGGTGCAGGATGGTCAGCCGGCGGCTGTAGTCGCTGATCCCGCTGGACACGGGCGCCCCGTCCTTCTTCCAGATGATGTGCAGCTTGATCAGTGGCCTGGGGGCCAGGGGCGTGTCAAGAGCCAGCTCCAGCTTCCCTGGAGGATCCCACCTCCCTCCATCCCGCAGGTTCCAGGAGCGTGGTGGGAACAGATTTCGGGGCAGCCAGCCACAAGGCTGGGCAGCGCCAGCGGGGAGATTCCCCATCCTCATCCCCATCCCCATCCCAGTCCCCACCCCACGGCTCACCTGGCGTTGGCCACACACTCCATGGTCACCTCCGAGGTCCCGGCCACCACGCTGGTGTTCCTGGGTGGGACAATGATGGTGGGTGCGATGGGATCGGCCGGGCCACCCACGTCTGGGGAGAAGGAGGCCAGAGGGACAGCCATGAGCACCCCCTGCCCACCCTGGGGTGTCCCCAGGGAGGGCACCCAAATCCCCGGCTGCTCAGCCTGGAGGAGACAAAGGTGACAGGGACCCGATGCCTTCCAAGATGTCCCTAAGATGTGTCCTGCCATGGGAGCCCCGGCACGCCCGGGCAGGGCCACCAGGCTGGTGACAGCAGGGAGGAGGGAGCAAGGAGTCCATAAAGCAAAATGATGGCAACAATAAAAAACCCTCATGTAGGCGCTGTAAAAACGCGATCGGCTCGAAAGCTGCTGATAGAGCTGAATCCATAAACAGGGGCTCCGGGATGTTTATGGAGCTCCAGGACGCCGAGGGACGGGAAAAACAGATTAATGGGGATGGGAGACAGGCGGAGCCCGCCACAGACAGGGATAACCTATCCCAGCCCTGTGGGGCAGCAGGAGGGGAGATGGGGGAGAGCGTGACAGGGCTGGTGTCACTTCAGGGCATGTCCCATGGGATGGGCTGTCACCAACCAAATGGGCTGGGGGAGCCTCGGAGCTCCTGGAGGGCCCAAAGGGACTGGGGGGACGAAGCCACAGGGGTGGCCCCCAGGCAGGGGCAGCTCCAGAGCACCGGGAGCTGACAGAAGGACACGGCCAGGGGTGGGGTGTGCATGGGGTGACACCGCAGCCCCCCCTGCGCACCCCCCATCCCGCAGCCCATCCCGGGGCACGGCCGGATGCAGCTGGAGCAGCTGCCTGTGACACACCAGCGCCTGCAGCACAGCCACCAGCTCCTAAATAAATTCCGAGCCGGCTGAACTGTTAAGTCAGCAGAAGCCGGAGCCTCCGAAGAGATTTACTGCAAATGAAATCTGGGGGCGAGGCAGGGGAGGGGGGCAGTGCCCCCCACACTCACTGGCCACGCTCAGGGTGATGGGCTGGCTCGTCTTGTTGTCGCCGTTCTTGTCATTCACCGCCTGCACGTAGTAACGCCCCGCGTCCGGGGCCACCGTGGACAGGATGACCAGGGTGTTCTCCAGCGTGATGGCTCTGCGGGAGCACAGGGAGCTGGTCACATCGAGCTGGGACCCTCAGTCCCCACCCAGCACCCTCACCTGCCTGGGGGCACCCCCACGGGACCCCTCCTCTCCCCCACCTGCCCAACCCCAGGATTCCCTGTGCCCAAGCAGAGCCCACAGGATGCTGCACATTCCCAGGATTTCTCGGGGTTTTTTTTCCCGTTTTTTATTTAATGGAACGACCTAATCTGCTGGAAACATAAAATGCTGTGGGGAATATGTTTTTTTACCATTAAATATGAGATAAAGGAGTTTTATCTCCTCAATCCCGCTTTGCAAATCGAAAGGAGACCACTTCAATTCCTGCATAATGGGGGTTACAAATTCAATTCCTGCAGGCTGTGGCTGCCAGGACTCCGGCAGCACCGGGATCTGCCACAGCTCCATGGGGACACCTGGAACACGCGTGTGTGCCGTGCTTGGCTCTGTCCCACCCTCTCTCCAGCCTTCCTCCCTCTTGTTTTCAGTTTTTGTTAAGGAATCCCTTTTTCTGGTGACAAATAGAGCCATTGGTCACCGGGCGTGTCCCGGGGCTTTAGCACGATGCGCTCGAGGTGTTGGTTAAACACCCTTAGCGAGGGGACGAGGGGAAATGCAGGATGCTGGGGGGTTCCTGGGGGTTCCGGGGGGATCCCGGGGGTGCTCACATGCGGCTGCTGGGGGAGATTTTCCGTCCATCGCGGAACCAGGTGACCTGGGGCTGCGGGAAGCTGGCGATGCGGGGCGCACGGATGACGGCCGCCTCGCCGTGGGACACGCTCTGCTGCGTCTCGCTGTCCTCGAAGCTCCCCATGTCTGCAGGACAGCGGAGAGAACCGTGCCAGGGACTGGGGATGCGCCCAGGGAGCCAGCCCTGGGTCTGGGGTTTGTGGGGTGGGTTCCTCGGGGGATGGGGCTGCTCCCGGTGCCCTCCTCGGCTGGCTCGGGGTGGGGGATTTGGGGTGGTTCAGATCCCACCGGATCCCCATGAAGGACCTGGAGCCCCTTGTGAGGGGTCAGGACCCCCGTCCGAGTGTCCCCCACCACAGACAGGCTGCAGGCACAGCAGGGAGGGCCCGGTCCCGGGGCTCCCCAGCCTCGCTCCGCTCCCCATCCCGTGTCCCGGTGCAGGGAGCATCCCAGCATGACCCTGACTGCAGCTGCCCCATCCCACCCTGCAATCCCAGGCTGGGAGCACACAGCACTTGTGGGAGACTGAGGGAAGCGGGGGGGGCATGGAAGAGGGGGGTAGGACAGGGGATTTTTATTGACTTCCTTAATTGTTGTAATTAAAAACATGTAAAGAATCCTTTTTTAACGACTTTGCCATTATCATTAGTTGTTAGCACAGCTGCCTTATTAATTTCTCATTATCCTCCTGATTTGTCACCGCTCCTCAGGAGGTGTTCGAGGCGATGGGACTGGGGCTGTCCCGGAGACAAGGGGTGCCAGAGAGGGGCAGGTGCCTTCGGGGGACAGAGCCACCATCCCTGGCCTCGGCACTCTCATCTCCTCCTTAAATCGCAGGATTTTCTCAGCGTCACCCCAGGGACGCTCTGATGTCACTGCCAGTGTCACCCCAGGGATGCTCTGATGTCACTGCCAGTGTCACCCCAGGGACGCTCTGATGTCACTGCCAGAGTCACCCCAGGGACGCTCTGATGTCACTGCCAGAGTCACCCCAGGGATGCTCTGATGTCACTGCCAGTGTCACCCCAGGGATGCTCTGATGTCACTGCCAGCGTCACCCCAGGGATGCTCTGATGTCACTGCCCAGGGATGCTGCAGGCTCGCACGTGCTGGCCAACAGCAGAGGTGTCCCCCAGCGCCGGGAGCTGTCCCCGTGCTGTCCCCACGGAGCAGGACGGTCACTTACAGGCCACCTGCACCTCGGTCTGGCGCTGCAGCAGGGCTCCCATGCGGTTGCGGACGATGCAGCGGTAGAAGCCGGCGTGGGTGCGGTCCAGCGAGGTGATCATGTACCTGCGGGAGGGGTACCAGCACTGAGGGGACATCCGTGCCGCTGTCACAGCCCCGCGGAGGGGCTGCAGGACCTGCACACCCTCCTGTGCCAGGAGCCGCTGCTGGAGGTGTGTGGTGGATGTGGATACGCAGCCGTGGATGCTCGTGCGGGCCGGGGGGACACCCCAGTGTCCCTCAGTGCCACGCAGGGACTCGCGGCCACCCGCACCGGAGCTGTTTCCGTGCACAGGGCGGTGACCGCCACCGGCCCGGGGGCTGGATGTGACCCAGCGCCACCAGCCGCTGTCCTGAGCAGTGACACTGCTGGTGTCGCTCAGCCCGGACCTGAGAGCGGCTCCCATGAATCCCGGCTGAGCCCCCCTTATCACCCCCGAGCCTGCTCTTATCAGCCGCCAGCGCCAGCAGCCGCTGAGGAGATAAAGGAAATCTCCCCATCTCCACTCGAGCACCCCCCGAGCATCGCCGCGCTCCCCGAGCCGGACCCTGCTGCCACCAGGCCGTGCCCACCCCTGGAGCTCGTGTTTCATCCCCCTCAAAACAGACGGGGGAGCCTCGGGGGGCCCGGCGGGCGCTGCAGCGTCGCCGTCCCCGACGGGGAGCGCTGCGAGATAAAGCAGAGAGGGAATAAATAAAGCAAGCTCAGCCCTCCTTGCCCAAAATCTAATCTTGCGTTAAAACCCGCCGCGGGCTCTTTCGGCAGAGCTTTGTTTGTTCTTCTGAGAACTGAGCGTAAATTAAACTTTCATAAGACCTGAGGAGCGCGTTGCCTGTGCCGGGAGCGCAGCGGGGCCCGCGCCCACCTCCCCGCACGGGAGGGGGTGACAGGGGACACCGGGCTCCCCCCCCTCACCCTGGGGACACGGCGGGACCGCCACCGACCCCACTGTGACACCCACCCAGCCGCCCACCCACTCGGGGTCACCCGTCCCCGCGGGAGGAGGGACGCTGCCCTTTGGGAACGAGTCCTTGAGTGTCACGGTTGATATTTAAAAATGCTCCCCAGAGGCTTTAAATAAGATATTTCAATTCCACGGAGCTGTCAGGAACGGCTGCAGACGCCAGGAATAATGGGCCCGCTCTCCTTGCCGTGTCCTCGTTAATAAATCACACCGTGGCTCCCGAACACACGCACGGGGATGGACGCAAGGCTGGACGGACACACAGCAAGCAGAGGGACACGTGTGTCCCCAAACAGATCCGTGTCCCCTCCAGACCCTCATTCCAGGACAGGGACAGTGCAAAGCCACCAGCGCTGGCACAGCCCAAGGGACCCAAACCGGGTCACGGGGAGCACCCACGGGCACGACACATCCACGGGCACCAGGAGCCTTGTCCCCAGCCCAGGACACTCCAGCAGATCCAGTTAAAGGGGCCTGGTCCCCACACACGGGAGCTGGAGGAGTTATTGAAGCAGCAGCTCTGCCACACACACCTCAGCAGCTGAAAATAGCCCGGAGAAAGGAAATCAATTCCCGGCGCAGCTCAGCCCGCAGTCATCAACCAAACCAGCACAGACTTTGTTCTCTCCCGCTCGCCTTCCACCGAGGCTTTTATCCAAGACCACTAGGATTCGATTTTCTTCCCCCATCACGCCTGGCTGGAAGGGGATGGGAATTGATTTCACCCCCAGTGTCACCCTCCCTGTCACCCCCTCACAGGGGATGTGCTGCGGGCAGGAGGGGTGGATGTCACCCCACGTATCCTCCCCAGTTTGTGCCACAGCTTCACGGCCAGGGGTTGCAGGGCCTTTGTTCCATGCAGGGAAGCAGCTCCTCCAGCTGGGACCGATCCCGGTGCCCCGGCCGGGTGGCTCTGTCCATCCGCCCCCGCTCCAGCCGGGACGGAGGTGAAGCTGGCGCAGCTCCTGGCACAGCTCCGCCTGCTGACTCCGCTGTTCCAGGGGTTTGTTTGGCTTCTCTGCCAAGACCGAGGTTGACAGGGCATGGTCCGTGGGGAAAAGCCCTTCCACAGCGAGCGCTGACCCGCGCTGCTCCGTCAGGAAGCGGCTGCGTCCCGCTCAGCCCCGGGGTCAGGAGGGGGCTCCGAGGCTGCAGCCCCGTGCCGGGGGAGCGGCGCGTTTGCAGCGGCAGCTTTGGCACCGGATCGGTCTGACAGATGGATGGCTGCATGCCGGGAATGACAACCTGTCCGTCCATCCATCCATCCATCCATCCATCCATCCGGGACAGGGCCCAGCTCCTCACTGTGCCATCCTCTGTTCCCATCGCTCCGGCTCAGCCCTGCCCCAGCCCCAGCCGTGCCTCTGTTTTTGTAGGGTTGCTGAGGAACGTGGGGCTGACGCTGCCGAATTATTCTTAGATTGAGGGGGTGGAGAAAGGCCGGGAAAAGCAGCAGCCAAAGGATTTGATCCATCAAATCGAAAGCCAGAAAAGTGCAGAAATCGGTGAGGTTCTTCCAACGCCGCCCAGTAACAGCAACAGCTGGATGGGATTTGGGATGGAAACACACTGGCACAGTCCCCTTTGATTAATATCCCGCATAACGACTAATTAATTCTGGAGGGGACGTGTGTTTGAACAGTTACTGTGGGATAATGAAATGTCAAGTGAGCATTAAAACACACTTAGCAGAGATTTAACGACTCGAAGCATCCGAGCGCGTGTCCCGGCCCCTGCTCCGGGCCAGCGCTCGATGAGGCTGCGAGCACCCCCCTGGAGCTCCATCAGCCCCGCTTAACTGGGCTATTGGATCTCAATTAGCTCCCGATTGGAACGGGAAAATCTCTGTTTGCATCCACGTGGCGGCTGCCTCTCCTCCTGCCCGGAGTGTTTCCCCTCGGCCGCGGGAGTTGTGCAGCCCCGTAAATCGCTGCCTCAATTGGCCCTGCCAGAACAATGAGCTGTTTAATAATTAATGCCCGTGTATTAATTAACCAGCCTCCTTCCTGCGGAGCGGGGACGGAGCGAGCCTCGATCCGTGTTGCGGCATCCGGAGGCTTTTGGTGCATTGCTGAGCACGGCCTTGGCTAGCTCCCAGCCCCGGGGGCATCTCCCTGTCCCCTCCTGAGCCTCTCCACGATCCCAGCGGGACATTCCCTCTGCTGCCACCCCAGCCCCGCTGTGCCCACGGCTCCTCAGGCCAACATTCCAGCATCCCCCCGATCCCAAACAAGGCACAGGGACAGGCTGGAGCTTCCCCAGCACAAGTTTTTCCCAGGAAAAGCCACTCCACGCTGGCCGCGCTCCTCATCCCGTGGTGATGCCAAAGGTGACGAAGGCCAGGCTGGAGCCACGAGAACCAGGAACGCCCTGCTGGATCCAACCCTTCCAATGTTCTTCTGCTCCCATTAATTAACTGATCGCATGGTAATTACTTCTCCACGGCAGAGGGATGGGCTTCACACTTGGGCTGGAAACCAGAGCAGGGATGAGCTCCCAGTGATCAGCAGCACAGGCTGAGATTCCAGCAGGAATCCAGGGATGATCAATCCTGTTTGCTTCAGGTCTGGGATTTTTAGAGGCTCCCGCCTCTGTATTTTACATAATTTGAGGACCAGCTCCGGGCATTAAACATTTGGGATCCTTGCAAGGCCATAAAGTCACACCAGGGTCCAGTTGTGTTCCTGGGACACCCCAAAAACGCCCAGTGAGGAGCAGAGGTTGAAAGATCCCCAAATCTGCCCCAAATCTCAGTGAGCCCATACAGAAAGGCTCCTGGAAGGAGATGGAGATGGATCAGAGACACCACGTGCTGGAAAACCCACCCCAGGGCTGGCATGGGGTGGCACGGGGAGGCTCAGCTGTGCCAGCCTGGCTTGGCAGAGGGGAGCTGGGGCAAAGCCAGCTGGAGCTGGAGATGGAATTACACTTTTCCAAGCTCCAGCAAAGCGGTTCTGGGCTCTTGAGAGGAGGTGGGGAATCCTTCAGTAGCTTCTGGACTCCTGCACCAGCTGTGGAGGCCATGAGGAGCTGATTTAGGAGCCAGGAGATGCATCCCTATGGATGGGAGTCTGTCCAGAGGTAATCTATGTGTAAGGTAATTTCCGAAGGCAGCAGGACTCGATGCAGCCCTTAATAGGACAATCTCATGTGATAAATTACCAGACCCAACTAATCTGCATGTTAAATTTCTTGTATGAGAAATAAATATCCTCAATTCACCAGAGAAGCGCTTTCCTTCCGAGGATTTCATTAAAGACATCGAGCTGCCTGATTTGCATGTTATGATTCCTCATAGGAGGAGAGCCCGGCACTGGAGAGATCCCGGAGGGAAAACCAGAGCTGGGCCTGGACAGCGGAGTGTGTGGTGTCAGTGACACCTCGGGGACACCCCAGGGACACCTCAGGGACAGAGGGATGGCACTGTGGGCTCTCCAAAGCGGGAATTCCATGGGAATCCTGCACCCCGTGCCAGCGGCAGGGAATGGAGGGAGCAAGGAGAGGGGAAGGCAGATCCCTGATCCCATTCCATCCACCAGGGATGCTCCTGGGATCACGGACAGAGCCAGGCTGATCCCTGACCCCCCTCAGTCCCCAGGGGTGCTCCCAAGGGAGGATGTGTCCACACACACAGAGCCAGGCTGCTGCTCAATCCCTCGGGATCCTGCTCGATCCCTGGGATGCTCCTGAGGGAAGAGAGCTCTGCATGCACGTGGATCCAAGCAGGGATGCTCCCAGGGACGCTCCGGGGAGATGGGTCCATGATCACGCACCGAGCCAGGTTCCCGATCCCCCCCAGCCCCCAGGGATGGCTCCGGGGAGGGGATGATTCCACAAGCGCACAGCCCCAGGCTGCTCCCCGCTCCCCCCGGAGTCCCTCAGCACCCCCAATCCCCCGGGAGGCTCCTCGGGGAGCCGAGTGGTCCCGCAGGGATGCTCCCGAGGGATCAGCTCCCCGCGGAGGCACCGCCGTGGTCCTGCCCGGCTCGGGGCCAGGCTCAGGCCCAGCCCGTTGCCCACCTGGCCCTTGGCGAGCTCCAAGAGCGGCTCCGGTGGCGGCGGCAGCGCTGCGGGAAGGAAAGGGCTGTCGCCATGGAAACGCTGCCAAACTGGGAGTGCGGCTCTTTCCCTGGAAACGCGGCGTGAGCTCCTCCGACCACCGGCGAGGCGGCTGGAGGGGGGCAGGGGGACAGCGAGCAGAGCCCACCGCCCCCAAAACGGGGCTAATGCACAAGGGCCACCGCAGGCGGCGGTGCCGGAGGGATTCCCTGCTCAGGACGGGACGTGAGGAGCAGCAGCGAGGATGATGAAGATGGAATGCTTGGAGACACAGCCCCGGTGAGGCCACTAAACCTGGCTGGGGACCGCCAGGCGAGGCCACCGAGCCTTGCTGGGGACCACGAGGCGATGTCAGCGAGCCCGGCCAGTCCCCGGGCACAGCCCCCCGCAGCACATTGTCCTCTCCAGAGCCTCCCTCATGGCACAGCCGGGCTTTGGGGAACGTCCTCCTGTCCCTGGGCCGGGGGACACACGGCAGCACCAAGCTGGGAGGGACTGGTGCCCCCCAAACCCCTCACCCACGGCGCCGATGCGCCCAGAGCCATCCCCGGCCCCACATGGCCAAGAACATCCCCGAGCCTCCCCGGCCAGCAGCACCAGCCCTCCCCTCTCCGAGGATTACTCTGTTTCTAAACTCGTTAACTTTTAATTACAACCTTCCCACTGCCTGAGCGGGCTGGCTCGGCGCCACCGACAGCTCTATTAAAATTTAATTTCTGCCCATCATAACTAATTTTGGTCCTTCGCCTTCTCACCAGCAGCCTCCAGTGCCAGGCAAGACAGCCAAAGCCTCATCTCCACACTCCAAATCCCCACGGAGCCGCGGGCAGAGCCAAGGGACGCTGGCAGGTTCCGGGGGGAGCCCAGCAGGGATTTGCACGGCGGCTTCTCTGCTCCCTTGGCTGCGCTGAGTTTGTTTGGGCTTTCCCCACGTGTTTGTTTGTTTGGTTTCTCGCTTCCTTCCTTAATCCTTTCTGCCTGGATGCTGGAAGTGGGGGCTCTGGGGGAGGGGAGTCACCTTGGAGCAGGGGTGCAGGGGTGAGGGGATGCAGGGATGCAGGGATGCAGGGATGCAGGGATGCAGGGATGCAGGGATGCAGGGATGCAGGGATGCAGGGATGCAGGGATGCAGGGATGCAGGGATGCAGGGATGCAGGGATGCAGGGATGCAGGGATGCAGGGATGCTGGGATGCTGGGATGCAGGGATGCAGGGATATGGAGCTGTCAGGCATCCCCGAGCACAGACACTGCTGCTGGACCCTTTCCTACTGAAGGGTCAACAGAGGCACGGGTCAAACCCAGGAGAAACCTGGGAAAAGGAGACAGAATCCCCATGCTGGGTTTGGAGGTGACCCTCAGGTGCCCCAAGGCACTTCCAGTACACAGCAGAGCCCAGGATCAGTGTCCTGAGCCCTTTCTCCTGCCTGGGAAAGAGCTGCACTCCTGGCAGGAGCGAGCTGGGGGAACTCTGGGGCTCCACAGGTCTCTGAACTTCCACACCGTGCCAAGGGTGTCCCACAGGGCCAGCAGTCACTGCCTCAGGGCACTGCAGAGCTGCAGCCACCCCGGCTCAGGAGGGGACAGTCCCCAGGGTCCCCAAGGAGGGCCGGGGCTCCAGGATCCCAGCACAGCACACGACATCACCCAGCCGCTCTCTCTGCGTTCCCGGCATCCCGGAGCAGCCCCGCGTTGCTACAGCAACACGAAGCCTTTGGATTCGATGCCTGGAAAGGGGGAACGGCTTGTCTCGACCTGAATTATTGATTAAAACAGAGAGATGACACACGCACACACACACACACTCAGAGGCGACGACAAGAGTTGCCCGCCTTGATTTAAAGGCCATCTCCGAGGGGCTGGAGTCGCGCTGTGCCAGGATCAGTCGGCACTCGGGGCTGGATCTGGGCACTCTCTCCCACCATCCAGCCTTGCCCCTTCCCCGCCCGGCTGTTCCCAGGGAGCCAGGGGCGGGCTGTGATCCTCAGCCCGGTGTTAAGGTGTTAATCCGCTTGTGCAAACACCTCGTCCCCGGTGTTGACCCGCTTCAGCTCCCCCCGTTTGCTCTTCAAACAGAGCCGGCAGCTCCGGGGCTGCCAAGCGCTGCCTCTGCCGCCTCCCAGGATCCAGCCCTGGCACTGGGACCGGCGTGACGGGAGGGATTTGCCAGGGATGCTCGGGAAGGCTCAGAATCCCAGAGTCACTGAGGCTGGAAGAGAACTCCAAGGTCATCGTGTCCAAGCTGTGCCCAACCCCAGAGCTCTGAGCGCCACCTCCAGTTTTCCTTGGACACCTCCAGGGATGGGGACTCCAAACCTCCCTGGGCAGCCCCTTTCCCCTGCCTGGCCTCCCTTTCCAGACTCACCGGTATTCCAGGGAGAACTTGGTGAGCTCCCGGCTGTTGTGCAGCCACTTGAACTCGAGGGGCCAGCTGCCCTCGGCCATGCAGGTCAGCACCAGCCGGTTCCCCTCCAGGTGCACCTGGCTCCGCACCGGCTCCGTCTTGAAGTACGGGGAGACATCATCTGTGGAGAGAGGAGGGAGCGGGATCAGGGCCCCCATCCTGCCAGCCCCACTGAACACCCAGCGCCGTTGCCCCAATAAAATGATCTTTAAGGTCCCTTCCAACCCAAAGCGTTCCATGATTCCATCGGCATCACCCCACAGCCACCTCGCCGTCCCCTGCCCCAGCCAAGCCACCCAGCCCCCCCTCCCTGTCCCTTGTCCCTCCCTGAGCCGTTCCAGCAGCCCCTCCACGAGGGCTCAGCCCGCTGCAGGTTTATCTAAGCTGCTTCTTTGCTTTATTCCCGGCTCCCTTTGTAGCATCTCCGAGCTTTTAACTCGGGGGGTGAAGGGGCGGAGGGGCTGCGAGCGGAGCGAGGCAGAACCACTTACTCCTCTCCTGTTTTATTTGCTAAGTAAAACTATAAATCGAACCACACAGCTCCATTTTCTGCTTAACAAATGGAAGCCCTTTTACTTCAAAGGCACATTCATATTCCCCAGCAGCTTTCAAGTGCACGTTCAATCACAGCTCTGGGTTTTTTCTTTGGGGTAGGGCTTTGCTTTCTTGTCTGCTGAAGCTGAATTGGTGCAGTGAATCCCGAGGCAGTGCCCACCACCCTGGCGGTGTGACAGGAGTTTGTGGGAGCTCAGAGACACCCCCAGAGCTGCACCGGGGGTGCCTCTGCATAGTCCTGGCTCCTGCACAGCCAGGTGGAAATGTCCAGTGGATTTACACCCTCCTGCCTGGCAAAGGAGCTCCTGTGCAGGCTGGGTTTGCCCTGGCGCTGGATGCCAGGAGAGTCATTAGGAAGGGAAGGAGCAGCTTGTGGCTCGGTAATTTAATCTTCCTCTCCGACCTTCAGCAGCGCCGGCTGGAAGGGGCAGCCCTCACTCATCCCTGTGTTCCTACCTCAGATCCGGGATGGATCTGGACATTGGGGCATCAGGGTGTGGCAGCCCAGCGTGTCCCGGGGGGCCATGGGGGCAGCTCGGTGCCCCAGCTGTGAGGTTTGGTACCAGTCCCACCCATGGGCACGCTGTTCCCGGGGCTGGGGAGCTCACAGCAGCCCCGCAGCCCTTGGAGTGGGGACACAGGAGCCCCAGGAGTGGGGACACTGGAGCCCCAGGAATGGGGACACAGGATCCCCAGGAATGGGGACACAGGTGCTCCAGGAGTGGGGACACAGGTGCCCCAGGAGTGGGGACACAGGTGCTCCAGGAGTGGGGACACAGGATCCCCAGGAGTGGGGACACAGGAGCCCCAGGAGTGGGGACACAGGAGCCCCAGAGCTCACAGGAACATCCCAGTGAGGGATCTGTGTCACCTGTGCGTGGCAGTGACCGCACGTGTCCCCACCAGAGCTTGACCCTCCAGGCTGGGGTTTCGCCCACGCCACCCTGGGGACTTTGGGATTACGGCAGTGCCCAGATGGGGACATGGCACAGCCAGATGGCAGCTCGGGATCCAAACACCTCCCGCATGGAACCGCTAAATGAGCTGTGAACCACGCTGGGGTCTGCTGGGTGTCATGCAGCTGTGGGGAGGATCCAAGCACGGCACAACAGGCTGATCCCCAGGGAATGCTGGTCCCCAGGGAATGCTGGTCCCCAGGGAATGCTGATCCCTCAGGAGCACCAGGCTGTGCTGCCAGGATCCAGCCGAGCGCTCCGATGGCACAGTGGGACTGAGACCTGGCGTGCCCAGTGCGCTCCCTGCACCCAGCCAGCACCCAGTGCCTGGGAGGCGTTTGGGAAGCGCTTGGGAAACTTGGGAAGCATTTGAGAAGTGTTTGGGGAGCATTTGAGAAGCATTTGGGAAGCGTTTGGGAAGCGTTTGGGGAGCATTTGGGGAGCATTTGGGGAGCATTTGGGGAGCGTTTGGGAGGTGTTTGGGAAGCGTTTGGGGCGTGTTTGGGAGTGTTTAGGAAGCATTTGGAAGCATTTGGAAGCGTTTGGGAAGCGTTTGGAAAGCGTTTGGGAGGTGTTTGGGGAGCATTTGGGAGCATTTGGGAGGCGTTTGGGGAGTGTTTGGGAAGCGTTTGGGAGGCGCTTGGGGAGCGTTTGGGAAGCGTTTGGGGAGTGTTTGGGGAGCGTTTGGGGAGTGTTTGGGGAGCGTTTGGGAAGCGTTTGGAAAGCGTTTGGGAAGCGTTTGGGAGCATTTGGGGAGCGTTTGGGAAGCGTTTGGGAGCATTTGGGAGCATTTGGGAAGCGTTTGGGAGCGTTTGGGAGCATTTGGGAGAGTTTGGGAGCGTTTGGGGAGCGTTTGGGGAGCGTTTGGGAGCATTTGGGGAGCGTTTGGGGAGCGTTTGGGGAGCGGGGTGCTGCCTGCGCACCTTCCCCTGGGCCCGCCCGCCGTTTGCATCCATCCTAATTTGATTTTAAGCAGCTAAGGCTCATCACGCTTTGAAGCGCCCGAGCCATCTGTTCTGCATTAAGGGGTGAAAAACGGCGCAGAGCAGGAGAGGCGGCTCCTAATTCCACACGGATCGTTCCGTGCTGATCCTCCCGCGAAGGTCACAGCGGCCGCCCCGCGCCCCCCGTGCCCCCAGAAAGGCAAAGCTGCCCCAACCACAGCAGGGCACAGAGGGGATGGGGGTCCTGGGGGTCCCCTGTGAGGGGTGACAGTGGCACTGAGCCCGAGTGGAATCCTCCTCATCCTCCCGGGAGCCTCTCCAAGGAGCCCAACCCAGTGCCAGGGGTGGCTGGAGGAGAGGAGGGATCGGGGAGGGGAACGTGGCTCGTTAATCCCGAGGATTCCAGAGAGGCCTCCAGGGACAAGTCTGGGTGTTCCTGGTGTTCCCAGGGGATGCCCCACACCAGCTCTTGGAGGAGAGGAGAGTGGGGGCCCCCAATGCTGAACAGCGCAGCCCCCTCACCCCCAGCACTTTCTGCCGCTCCCCCGGCCTCAGTTTCCCTCTCCAGCTGCACCAGCCATCCCAGCTCTGTTCCCTGGGGACAGCTGCACTCTCCCACCATCCCTGACAGGCCCTGGCAGCACCAAATCCAATTCCATGGAGCTCCCATGGGTGTGAGCTGCCAGTCCCCGCGCCCAGGGGGAGGGTTCCCGGTGGATGCCAGCCGGGTCCCCCCGCGAACGAAGGGTCATTACCGCTCATTCCGCCTCTCCCCCATCTGTTGTGACTGTTTACACTCCACTTGCTAATTAGAGGCTAATTAGTTGGTGCAGAAATTCATCACTTTCCAAACACAGGCGGCAGCGAGGGGCGTCTCCGGGAACATCTGCACATCTGCCGGCGGCACGGGACACGGCGGAGCTCCTGTGCCACCCCCTGCCACTCCGGGCCGTGTCACCAGTGTCCCCTCCACAAGCGAAAGTGCCACCAAGCCCCTCTGTCCCCAGCCTGCCCTCACCGCTGACCCCGGGGCTGAGCTGAGCTGCCGGATGCGATTCCAAAGGCTGCGAAAAGAGAAGGGGGACAGCGACAGGGACTGTCCCTGCCGGTGACAACCTAATGCCAGGCCTTGGCACGGCACTAATCCCGCCTAATGGGATCAGGATCTTGGCCGCGGCACTTTAGTTACATCAGGGCCGGCGGGGCATTAGAGCCGGAGCGGGCTCGGATGTAGGGCAGGGCTCCCCAAAGAGCCCTAATGGATCCTAATTCCCGGCCCTAATGGGCGAGCTGGGAACTAAGCTCCCCTCTCCCCGGCTCCAAATCCCTCTTGATGGGAAGGGACGGGCAGGTTTAAGCCTGGAGGAATCCCGGAATGGCTGCCAAGGGCACGGCTGTGCCTGGCAGCTGCTGGCAGGGGGGTGGGGGGCACGCAGGGGCAGCCCCCTCCTTTTCCCTTCGCTCTCAGAGGCGAGGTGGGGATGAGGGCACGAGATCCAAGCCCACAGCCGAACTGGGGACACCAGGGGACGGTCGGGTCCTGCCTGGCACCGCCATCCAGGGGACAGCACGGTGCCCATCCCTGCTTGTGCTCAGCACGGTGCCACCAGCCCTAAGGGACAGGAGTGACTCCATCCCCGCCCAGCTCAGCCACTGGCAGCCCAGCTCCTGCTGATTACCGGGATTCAGAAATGCCAAGGGACGGGGATCCGGGGGATGTCCTGAACCCAGCCCAGCTTCACGTACCCGACAGAGCCCAACCAGCACCAGGGACCTCGGGAAAAACAACTCCATCCTCTTCCTCCTTCCCAACAACCCCTCTTTGGCCCCACCAGGACGCGGCTGGTGCAGCTCTGGGAAGCGCCCACACCCCGCCTGGACCACAGAGAGGGGACACAGCCATGTCCCTGCTCCCCCCACAGTCTCCCAGGGCTCCCCCATCCCATCTCCACCCAAAACGGAGGCTGCAAAGGAGGATGCCAGCCCGGGAAGGAAGATGCCAACCCTCCAGGAGCGGTGGCACGGCCGCCTGGCACTGCTCCCACCCCGGCCCCCCCAGCACGGGGAGATGGAGCTAAATCTCCTCGGCATCAGGCTCTCGCTGGCTCCGCAGCACGAAGAGATTAAAAAACAATAAAGAGAAAGCGAAACCCTCCGCTATAATTACCAGCCTTTAGCCGCCAGCGGAGGCAGGAGGGAGGGAGGCAAGGAAAAAGGGGGAAAAAGAAACAGAGGAGAAGAAGAAATCCACTAAAATTTTAATAGGAACCACTGCATTTAATTTAACGACACATTTTTTCAATTACCAGAATAATTGTTTTATTCATAAAACGAGTTTCAATAAGAGGGTAATTTTCCTTTGTTTTTATTATTCATTTGTGGAACATATTCATGGTGCGGTTCCCCAGAGCTGCCTCCCCACATCTGGGCAGGGGGGGAAAAAACCAGCAGGGTCCCCCAAAAGCAGCACCCAGGGGTGTCCCCGAGCACCCCGGTGAGGTCACAGCCTCAGCTGTGGAGAGGCGGCCCCAGGGGACCCATCCTGGCCATCCGAGGGGTGATGGGGACACGGTGGCCCTGGGGACAGGTGAATCCCTGCCCGAGCAGCTCGGTCAAGTCCCACTCCCGGCTTTGTGGGATAGCCAGGTGGGGAAACATCAATTTTTTTCAGCGGACGCAGGTAAAGCCAGCAGGTCAATTCAG